AACAAAACACTGCGGGGACCTGCACCATCCTCACGATTGGGCTTATGTTGAACCCACTGTGGAAGCCACAGTATCAAACCTTCTTGTCGGTGGTATGAAATATTGATTTTTAATGACAAATTAATGAAATGTTGTCTTGAAGCATGGTATAACATGGTTAACAGTCTTCACGCTGGGTACTCGTAGGTGGGCATATCTGCGTGTGGATGGACCCTCCTGGAGACAGAGAGAGGAGCGGTGTCTTGGTTCCTAAGACCATCGGAAACATGTGTTTTCATGTTTTCCGATGGTCTTAAGCGACCCCTGTGAAAGGGTCATTCGAGCTCCAAAGGGGTCGAGACCCACAGGTTGAGAACCACTGCCTTAGCACAATCAGTCATGCAGGGCCAGAGGGTCAGAGGACTAAAGCTCAGAAGATAGGAAGGGCGCATGTAAGAGAGCACAAGGAAACAGGAAGCAGAGGGAAGGCATGGGAAGCATGCTAGTACGCCAGGGGACTGAATCAATGTCACGAAACAAAAAGTGTTATGAATTGAGAAACGGAAAACCAATTTGACCTGGAAACATATAGAAAACTCAGACTTTAGCATTAAAAACATTTTAAAAAATCTATTTCTTGCGTTAAAAAACAAAAACAAAACCCAAACTCACTGAAGGCTACAAGAGGACAACAGAGTAGAACTGCCCCTTAGGGTTTCTAAGACATTTAAATCTTTGCAAAACTAAACAACCTCTTCTTTCTCCTCTAGAGTCACTGGTGGGTGCAAACCAATGACCCTGTGGTGAGCAGCTCAATTCTTAGCCCACTGAGAACCCACCAGGGTTCTTAGCATCTTTTAGGTACGTCTCCCCAATTAACTCCAGCTCTTCCTATTGCAGCAAATTGGTTCTTCGTGCTGACTGTTTAGTAACACACTTTTTTTTTTTTAATCAACACGCTTTTGAGTCAATTATTAGTCGCTATCATGTGAAGTGAGGCCTGGTTGCGTAGTATCTTATACGTTAGGCTGCTAACTGCAAGGCTGGCAGTTCAAACCCACAGCCACCCTATGGGAGAAAGATGAGGCCGTCTGCGCTCAAAGAGTTAAAGAACCTCTCCACACTCCCTGCCATCGAGTTGTTTCTGATTCATAGGGACCCTACAGAACAGCGGGGCACAGAACTGCCCCTGAAAAAACAGATTAAAAAAAAAAAAAACTGCCCCTCTGAGTTTCTGAGACTCTAATTCTTTATAGGAATAGAAATTCTTGTCTTTCTCCCTCAAAGTGAAGGGTGGTTTTGAACATCTGACCTTGCAGTTAGCGGCCTAACGTGTAAGCCACTGTACCACCAAAGTCCATTTCCAGATGATAGGAACAAGTGATTGACCCCAGAGTGTGTTACTAGATACTCAGAAGGAAGGGACAATTGGCTACACAGGAAGAACCAGAGTTACAGCCTCAGAAACACACAGGGGCAGGTCGGCTTTGTCCTACAGGGTCGCTATGAGTCAGAGTGGACACAATGGAAGTGAGTTTGGGGTTGACCATCTGAAGGCAGTTCCCTCCTCCCACCTCGCACCCCCGTCAGCTCTCTCCTCCTCCACCCTGTGTATCATCCGGAGTTGGTATTGATGAAACATAAATCCTATCTCTCCACTTCACATCTGCCAGCAGTACCACTTACTGCCAAGTTCATGCCAACTGGTAGCGACCCCACATGTGCCAGAAAAGAACCAGCTGTGCCCTCTCCAAAGTCACTTCCTGGCGGTTCCTCACTTGCTTGAATCCTCCCGGGGGATTCCAACTGCCGCCCTGTGGTTGAGTAGCTGAGCGCTTAGCCTTTGGCACCCCCCCAAAAAAACATTGATGAGGAGACAATTCCGATTCACAGCCGCCCTATATGACAGTGTAAAACTGGCCCCGTAGTTTCCAAGGCTGTCACCTCGACAGAGGAGCCCTGGTGGTGCTGTGGTTAAGCACTTGGCTGCAAAAGGAAAAGCTTGAGGTTGTACACACCAGCCGCTCCATGGGAGAAAAACGTGGCTGTCGGCCACGGCCTCAGAAACCATGTGGGGCAGGTCGGCTCTGTCTGTTCTCTGTGGACCCTATGAATCATTAGACTTGGTGGTAATGGGTTCAGGTTTTGTACTCTTGACGGACACAGGCGATGATATCTTTCTCCCAGGGGTTCAAACTTCAGACCTTTTGGGTTGGCAGTCAGATGCTTTCACCTCTGTGCCACCAGGGCTCCTTCCACCCCCCAAAAAACAACCCCATTGCTGCCTAGTCAATTGCAACTCATTGTTATGGATTCAAACCACGAACCTCTTGGTTAGCAGCCCGGGGCTTACCTGCTGCACCAGGAGGGCTCCGCCCTCCCCCTCACTAGCTTGACAATCAACTAGCAAAATGAAATGTAAAAGAACAAGTGTTGGCAAGAATGTGCAGGAATTGGGACTTGCACGCATTGCTGGTGGAAAAGACAAAGGGCACGTTGCTTGGGAGAGCAGCTTGTCAGTTTCTCCAAGGGTCAGAGGAGAGTTGCCATACCAACCAAAAGCCAAGTCCACTGCCATCCAGTCGATTCCAATTCATAGCAACCCTCTTGGATAGAAATGCCCCAAAGGGTTCCCGAGAGACTGTAAATCTTTCTCCCACCAAGCAGCTGGTGGGTTTGAATCACTCCAGGGCTACACTGCGGGTCCGCTAGAGCTCATTTGCGTTACTATGAGTCCCAGCAATTCCGCTCCTCGAATCTACCCCCATAAGGGGAATGACAGACAATGCACGTCCACAAAATCCCATGGATGTTCCTAGTAGGATTATTCACAACCAAAATGTCCATCCCAGGCCTGACCAGGGGATAAAGAGAATGTGGCATCAAAACACTGGTTTCCTGACTCATGCGACAACAACATGGGTGAACTCGGGGAGCAAGAAACTCAACTCGCTGCCATCGAATCGCTTCCAACTCGCAGTGGCCCAATAAGGCAAAGTAGAAATGCTCCTGTGGGTCTCCAAGGCTGTAAACCTTTATGGGAGTAGAAAGCCTCCTCTTTCTCCCACAGGACAGCTGGTGGGCTCCAATTGCTGACCTGTGGTTAGGCCTCTAAGGGGTCACCCCCTACACTACCCAAACTCACTGCCATCAAGTCGATGTCAGGCTAGAATTGCCCCCTGTGAGTTTCTGACACTGTCATTCGTTACCGGAGTAGAAAGCCCTGTCTGTCTCCCAAAGGAGCCTCAGTGGTTCCCAACTACTGACCTTTCCGATCTCAGCCCAACACTCAACCACTATGCCGCCAGGGCTCCCTGATAAAGCGGAGGGTCAGCAAAAGAAGATGCTGCTGCACAAGATGGATTGGCAGGGACTGCAACAATGGGCCCAGCCCTAACCACCACTGAGAGGCTGGTGTGGGTCCATGGGGGACCTGTGGGACACGAGACCACTAAGAGTTGAAACGGACCCAATGGCACCTATCAACAACAGAGGATGCACAAATTGTGAATCTACTAAGAACCCCCTGGCAGGTACCCTGCAGCTGTCTTAAAATGGTCGCTTTTCCAGTCTGTGAATTTTATCTCCAGAAAGAAAATTGTTCTTAAATCTCTCCGCTTCAAATAAAATGTAACATCGCTGCCGTGCTCCATTCCTTGCTGAAAACACCCCAGCAGCTTCCCTGGTACTCGAGGTCAAACCCAAGTTCCCCATAGTGGCTACAAGCCCCTACAAGACCTGGCCCAGCTCCCACCTCCTGGCTCCTCTTTTCCCCTCGCCTGCCCCACCCCTGCCTTTGCTCAACCCTCTGCCTGGAATGTTCTTTCCCCAAGCCAGCCGCTCAGCACGGCTTCTCACTCGTCAAAGGCCCTCCTTACCAGCCATTCCACCGAAACACAGCCCCATAAGTACAATCCCATTACCCGGCTTGAGTTCTTTTGAGCCTTTACACTGTCTGAAAATAAGAATATATGTATTGGAAGCCCGTCGACTTCTTCACTACTCATTGCTCCCAACCCTCGGGCGAGAACCTTGTCTGTCATGTTCACAGCTCTGAACATGCCTCCTCCACTTAGAACAGATCCACTCAACAACTTCTGCTGAGATCCAAAGTGCCACCTGCTACCCAATCCAGAGCCCAAGGCACTGGTCTCCCACCAACCACTGCTCTCTCAGTAATCATATGCCAAGCTGTGTAGCGAGTCCCCAGGGCTCAAACAGTCAACTTTCAATTCCATCCATGGGCACCTTGGAAGAAAGGCCTGGCGATCTAATTTCAAAACCAAAAACCCAAGCGCACTTCCATCCAGCCGATTATGACTCACAGCGACCCTATACAGGCTTTCAGAGGCTGGCAATCTTTACATTCTCCCAAGGAACAGCTGGTAGATTTGAACCGCTAACCATGCAGTTATGAGCCTTATGCTTAGACCACAGCGCTACGGAAAGCCCTATGAAGCAAACAAAGCTCTGCTGCAAGGCAAGAGTCAGAATGGACTTGCCATCAGTTGTGGGATTCTGCCCGCACCCCGTTTTTTGGTTGTTGTTGTTTTTTGTTTTTTGCCTCCAGAGCTATCAGTGGCAGCTCCACCCCAGGCTACCAGAAACACTGGGAACCAGAAGAGGAATAAGCCTCCTCTCAAGAAACAGTCTGTTGGGGTCACAAGCACCCAATGTTTACCCAGCAACTGGCAAACAAACGCCCAGGAGAGCTGAAGCTTGCTGTGCTGACACCCAAGCTGAAGGCCAGGGTCCAAACTGGCCCTCATAAAGCTGCGGGCCGGCCAACATCCCCACCAAGGCTTGGTGACACTGCACTGGAACCTGGTTAGCTGGAACGGTTGCAACTAACACCTGCTGCCTCCACTCCTCCTCCCAGGAGGCTCTCTTTTCAGCTGCAGTCAAAAGTCTTAACCCGACAGGTGGTAAAGGCGTCTTCCCCTTCCTCCCTCCTCCTCTTCCTTCCCTCCCACCCGAGCTTCCAGAGCTCAGTGCAGCCACCGGGCCAGACACCCACTCACCCACAAGGAGCTTGACGTCTCGGACTGTGAAGTCGGGGTCTGGCATCCTGCGGAGGAGGGAGAGGCGGCCAGTGAGAAGACGGGCATCGTGGAACCGAACCCCTACCCTGAGGCATGGAGCTGTGTGTGAATTTCCCAGAGGTTCCCAAGGAGTCAGCCAACCTCCACAATAACGTGAGGATCAAGGATGTCTGTGAAGTGTGTATCACTCACTCACTGCCATTGAGTTGGCGCCGACTCATAGCGACCCTATAGAACAGGGTAGAACCTCCCCCACAAGTTTACAGGAGTAGAGAGGCCCACCTTCCACCCACCCCGTGTAGCAGCTAGTGGTTTCAAACTGCTGACCTTGCGGGTCACAGCCAAATGAGTAAACAGTAGTCACCAGGGCTCCAGCGAAGGGTGCCACAGCGTGTGTGAGAGTGGCCAAAACACAGCAGAGACACAAAGTGCGACAGGCTTCTGAGAAAATGATGCCGATGGGCTTACTGAGTGCAGGGCATTGAGAAGCACAGGGAAATGAGAGGTATGCCTATATTGGAGGAGGCCTCAGGAAAGGCTGCCCAAGAGGAAAAGCAACCCCTCCCTCTTCTGCAGATGAGGTTGGGGATGTCCTTCCGTCCCCCTACTTCTCCAGGGAAGACCAAAAATGTGAGCCCCAGGGGAGGGCAGACACCTGCTCTCTGTTAAGGCAGATGGTCTGTGGATGGTCTTCTCCGTGCCCCACCACCACCACTACCCCAAGACTCCCCATAGGCACTGTCAAGAGGGTGGGGGGATACAAAGGCACACACCATGGCAATGCCAGGCCTTTGTCAACATTGACTAGAATGGTTGTGAAGACCTCTGGGTGGGGAAAATGATTAAGAGCTGCTAAGGAAAGACTGTCGCTATGAGAAGGAACTCGCTCGATGGCGATGAGAAACCTCAGGACTGAAGGTTCCAGTCCACCCCGACACGTCTCAGAAAGGCCTGGTGATCTACTTCCAAATAAAACAAAACAAACAAGCAAACACTGAAGATCCCAGGGAACACAGTGCTACACGAGGGGCCACCATGAGGGGCCATGGACCTGAAGGAAATAGGTCATAACGGAAGCTTCACTCGTCCTTAGTTGACGGGAACGCAGGAAGTTCCTCCCTCACACTAGGGTGGCAGACCATTCACGCTGGACAGATGGTTGGACAGAGGCAGGCTGGATGATACCTTCAGCCTCCCTCTGGTTCCCCTGCTCGAGGGTGGAAACCTGTTCTTCCAGCCCACCACCTGCCCTCTCCCCAACCTGGGGCTCTGACTATCTCAACGTGGGAGAAAGTAAACAAAAGGCAGAAGAACCAGGAGCCATGGTCAGAGATTATAGGAAATATACCTCTGCCCACAGAAAGGAATTGAAGTATCAAGTGCAGAGCAAGAGCCACAGTAGAGAGTACCTATGTGCCCTGCCCCAAGACTTAAAGGTTGGCCAATCTCCTTGTGCCTTAGGTCCAGCCTCAGTTTCCCAGTGTTGTTCCAAGATCTCTATTTCTTGGAGATGGATGGTGGAGGGGATGGGAACAACACTACTTAAGTGCCCTAAGTTCTGTCTGCCCAAATCATCAGGAAATGACCCGTCCATGGTACATTTCCACCCTCTTCCCCTTTGTGGGAACCAAACAAACAAACCAACCACACCACATCAATTGCCACAGAATCAGAGGCTTGACAGCAACCCCTGTGTTCCACATAAGCCAAAGCAAGCAGATGCTGACCCTAAAGGCTAGAGATGGGAAAAGGCTATCAACTGTGCCAGGGAGGGAAGTCAAGGGAAGAAGCTATTTGTTTCATCAACTTACTTAATTCCCAGGTCGTCCTTTTCTCGGAATATCAGGGGCACCCTGAGAGCTTCTTTCTGCACGTACTCATAGTTGAAATCTGTTAGGGGGTTTGGATGAAAACAAGCTGGTTAAGTCAGGAAGGAGGGACGCCACCACAGTTGGCTGATGAGGGGGCAAAGAATGATGGCCAAGGGACAGGGAACATGCTTGATGCAGGGACCAACTCAATGGCAAAGGCTCCCCTGGGACAATAAAAGGGAAATAGGCAAGGCAAAGCCCCAGCAAAGCCATGCCAACTCGCAGCTCCTCTGCCCACTCAATCATTCCTTGCATGCCCCACGGGTCAGAACTTGTCAATGAGCAGCCCAAGATTTGGGTTGGGAGACTCATGAGAGAGCCCCACAAAGGAAGAGCTATAGTTATTGAGGGGCAGAGAACTCACTTCAAGCTAAGCTCAGAGGGTGGTGGTGTAAGGATCGTTGAATCATTTCAAGCCAGAGTCACCCAGAGTACAACGGAACAGAACAAAACACTGCCCCATCCTGCGCCGTCCTCTCAACTGTTGCATCCCTTGAGCCCATCATTGCAGACACTATTGTCAATCCCAACTCCTCAAGGGCCTTCCTCTTTTGTGCTGACCCTCAACCAAAGCATGATAGTCTTTCTCCAGAGACCGGTTCTCCCGAGGACGTGTCCAAAGAACATGACACAAAGCCTCACCAAGTGTGATTGCATGGAGCATGCTGGCTATACTTCTTGCAAGACAGATCTGGGCGTTTTTCTGGCAGCCCCTGGTATATTCAATATTCTTCACCAACACCACCATTCAAAGGCATCCATTCTTCTTCGGTCTTCCTTGTGTGTGGTCCAGGTTCCCCAGGCAACACCAGGTGACAGGAGCTTTCATGGGTTGGACCACTCGCACCTGAGTCCTCAAAGTGACATCTTGCTTTTTGAAGACTTCTTTAACGGAAGTTAAATCAGAAAGTGGAGGGGTTGCAAAATGGAAGGTCGCCGCATGGGAAGAGCTGAAGCCCTAGTGGGGAGTCTGGGAAAGGGGGGGCACCCATTGTAGCTGAGTATCAGTGAAGATCTTATTGTAATATCCTGGGTAGTGAAGGGGAGGGGACAAGAGCTGGTTTCCCTGGAAACTGTGTATTTGGTGCCAAAATCACAGGGAACTGGGCCCGGCGCTGCCGTCTGTAATAGGGGAAGTCTGTTGCAGGCATCACATTCTTTGCTTCAACGAGAGGGGCACAAGAAGGATGTTCCTCTGCCGGTGACGGCTCATAAACACAGTGTGCACAGTAAGGTCTAGTAGAGACCCCCAAACTTCCAGCAAACGAAGAAAACCTCAGACGAATTTATTTCCCTGCCCGGTTCCAAAACTGGCCCATAATCCTGGTTCTGGCACTGAGGGAGGTGGAGATAAAAGCCACGTGTAACCAAGTAAAGGGAGGACACAAGTGCTCCCTGGCCAGACAGAGGGTGATGGAAGAAGCCACAGGCAACTGCAGCAGGGATCCCGGAGAAACAGTTCAGCAGGGCGGGAGGAGGAGGCCAGGGCAACTGGGGCCTAAAGAGATGAGGGAACAAAACCCCCAGTCAGGGAAAGCCCTGACCTCCCCTCCACAGCTCAGAATCCCAGGGGCGCTCAGTGAATGGGGATTCCTAAGGATTTAAAGGAAGAGCAGTTTAAGAAGCTTCTATCTGGAATCCAGGCTAAGGGATTCTTTTTCTTGGCTCCTCCCTCGGGTTTGGGGGCCAGATCTGAATTCACTAGCAAAACCCTCTGGTCCTCTCCTTTTAAAGGGGCCTGGACAGCCGATCTGAGGAGACTATACATTAGAACTTCCTTTCTGCAATATTCCACACACAACCACCACCGCCCACCCCACCCATGTCTGCACACCCAGAGCCCAGCTCCTGAGGTCGGGGGCCACTCCCTTAGAGGCTGAGGTAAAAAGGCCCAGAGACCCTGGATAAGAACCCCTCCCAAATGGCCAGGAAGAGTTTGCATATTGTTTTCCCACAGGATCTGCCAAACAATTCAGTGAAAGGGAGAGGGGGTGGAATTAAGGCTCTAAAGGAAATTTAAATGGGGCCAGGACTAGCCTGCTAACCTAGGCAGAGCCTGTAGCCTGGAAGAAACCTCTTCCCTCCCCCTACAACTTCCCTCGACACCACCCCCCCCTCCCAGCCCAGCGCCCCAGGAGGTCATGGGCACAAAAGAGAAACTTCAAAAATGCAAAGCCGGATGGTGGCTTCTGGGGGCTAGCCCCACAGCTCCGCAGTCCTAGCCAGTCAACCAGAACCCGGAGGAGGGAGGCCTTTCCCTGAGCAGCAGCTCCTGGAGAGATGGGAGTGTTTCAGGGGAATTAAATAAAATGTAAGGTAACTCGGATATCTGAGGGGGAAAAAGACCCGCAAAGCCTATAAGGGGCGTTTAAAGATGCGTGGGCAGGCAAGGCTAGGTCCAAGTTAAGAACCCACAGGCCAAGCTGTGTTCCCAGGGCAGGGTGACTCTGGATGCAGACTGGGGTGGGCCTGCACTCTGGAGGCCTGGGACCCAAACCAGAGAGATACCCCAAAGTCCAGAGGGGCTCCCCACTGCCAGGAGAAACTCAGGCCCTGAGGGCCTCAAGCTGGGGTGACATCCAGAAACTCCAAAGACTCCCCTGCTGGACTAGAAAGCTAGCGCAGGGGCAGTGGGGTGGCACAAAAGGAAAAGACCCTTTACAAATTGGCTCTGCAAATCTTCATTTGGAAGAAGTCACCCCATGACTCCTAGTCCCCAGCTTCAGCAAAGGCTGCAGGGTCTGAGGCATAAGTGGGGGCCTCATCCCAATAACTGAAGCTCCACCAACCCCAGTTCTAATCTGGCTGACCCAACCAGAGCACTTGAGCATTGCAGGTCCCCACGCCTAGGTGGGGGCGTGTCCCAGGAATATCGGGGTCCCTAGCCCTCAGGGCCCGCAATGGTACTGGGCTCTAGAGGCTTCAGGCCTAGGGTGGCCTCACCCCCCGATGCCCTGTGGGCGCCCCGAGTCCCCCTACAACCAAGCTGCACCTCAGGATGCTGAGGATGTTCTAGGAGCCGGGAGCACAGCGGGCTCCGGCGGAGGAAAGACGCGGAGTTCTCCCCTTCCTCTGTCGTTCCGTCGGTCTGGCAATCCCCAAGTCCCTCCATCCCGGAGCCCCCAGTTCTACCCACCCTAGGGCTGGTGGGGCGAGCGCCGGGCCTAGGCCCACGCCTGGCCACGTTCCCTCCTCCTTCGCCACCACCCCTCACCCCACCCCCCCAGTGCTCGGCCTCGTTTCGTCACCGGATCCCCTGGAATGGGGGACGCGGGCGCGAAATACGAACCCAACCACCGGCAGCTCCGTCCCCACGTGCGCGCAGCCCGCAGGCGGAGGGTGGCGCGGAGGGGGCGCCTCACCTTTGCCCTCCATGGCGTGCACGAAGTCCCCCTGGTACAGTTGGCTGCGCAGCTTCTCCTCCAGGCTGAAGCCGCGGACGCTGACGATCTCCTCCACGTCCGACAAGTCCTCGTTCTCGTCGTATCTCTGGCGATCGATCGGGCGCTGCGGGGACCCAAACCAGAGAGCCCGGAACGTTATGGGGAGGGGGAGCAGAGGGGGTCGCCGCTCTTCCCTGGGTCCGGCGCGAACAGGTGTACCCCACCCTCGAGCTCGAACAACTTTGCTGCCATGCCAAAGATGCTGAAAATCGGGATAAGAAGTAGGACCTGCACTCCCAGCTCCGGCTGCGCCCTACACTGAGCATCCGCTGCTTCGACTGTGGAGGCCATCGGAGGGACATCTGGGGACCCTCCCTTGTCCCCCACCCCAGAGGTGTATGGAGCCGTGCCCACTAGCCCTCCGCGCGGTGATATAACCCGGGCAGGGGGCTCCGGCGCGGGCTGGCCGGGCGGACGTAGGCCCTAAAGACGCCGCGGCAGCGCCCAGCTCCGCAGTCACCGAGCCCCGGCGCCGGCGGCGGCGGCAGAGCCGGGAAGCCGGATCCCAGGCCGGCAGCATTTCTGAGTCTGGAGCTGCCGGAGAAGCAGCAAAGCGGCGGTGGAAAGACTGAGTCCCCCTCTGCCCCCGCTGCCCGCCCGCCAGTGCAAGATGAGGAGGTGAAGGGGGGTCGTGGGGCT